ACTACGGATCCAAAGGCGCTGGGCGCTCGAGGCAACTCGATCGTCAGCGGTGGTCGACGTCGACGGCGAACGAGGGGAGGCGTCGAGCTCGATGTGTGGTGGTGGACGAGGGGGACGACAGCGACAAACGGCGAACGAGCTTGGCGACTGTTCAGGCCGTGATGGAGGCTGAGGGTATGCCGAGGACTGGGGGCTTGGTGCGTCGGCGTGGGGCTTGGCGACAGAAGATGGACTGCAGACGGCGGGTTAGGCTGCAAGCGGGGAACTCGCGACGGCGAGGGGAGGAGGAGGCAGCAACGGCGAGAGCGAGAGAGCGGTCAGAGGAGGAGAGGGCGGCTTCGCTGCTGTGGCATGGGAGGAGGGCTGTTAGGCGGGCGCAGATCTCGGAGACGATGAGATCTGGTGGAGAGTGTTGGTGTGGTGGTTGGCGTGGCCTGAGGAGAGAGGGGATGGTCGGAGTGGGGTGAAGGAAGCTGAAGGCTGCGGGGTTGATGGCGGCTGCGTTTTGAGGCTGAAGGCGAGCGTGGCTGAGGAAGATGATCCGCGTCAGCTTAGGGGGGCTGCGAGCGTCGACGAACACTCAGCGTTGGTGGAGATTGGGCGGAGGCTCAGGGAGGCTATCAGGGTTGGTGGGGCACGGTGGCTTCGAGCTCAGGAGGAGGGGTGGTCGACGAGCGGCGAGTGAGCTCGGCTGGAAGGTGGAGCGGGGAGCGCGGTTGAGGAGGGCGGCGCTTGTGAGGGGTCGTCGGTGCTGGCCATGGCGGGGCCAAGGAGGGAGAGAGCGGAGAGGAGAGAGAAACGAGAGGAGAGAGATGATGTTGGTGGCGGCTGTATTCGTGAACAGGAGAGGGTTTTTGGTTAAGGGATATTTATATACATGTAATATTAGGGTTAGGGTTTAGGGTTAAATAATTAAAATAAAATAATTACGGGTATTTAAAAACTAATCTAATTACAGAATAATTATGTACAATTAAAAACGTACATGTTGTGGTATTACAACAATCGATACGAAATAGTCGAAAAATACCCATATTGTACAATTAAACGAAAATAATTAATAAATAAAATATATTTACTTACATTTAAAATCCAATAATTATGGGATAATTATATACACAGTAAAACATACTCGTTATACTAATACGACAGCTGATACGTAATAATTAAAATAATACAATAATTTATACAAATAATACATAATTAATAATTCAACATAATACACAAAATAATACGTACTAGTAACAATAACACAATGTATTATTTAAAATAGTATGTAATAGTATCGATAATACAACCGATTAATTCCAGAAATTTTCACTGCATGAAAGTAATTTATAAATATTTAAAATCATTTAAATAAATATAAAACTTGGATTTTAAATCATAGAAAATTCTAGAAAACCGTAAAAAATATAAATACTCTAACAATAATAATTAAAGATTTTAAAATACTAAAAAATTTATTTTAACTAGTATTAAAATTCATGGTCCTTACAATTGACATCTGAAATTGCAAGTTTCTTCTCCTCCTCCTTCTCCCTTTTGTCTTCGTCATCTTTCACCACAACGACAACTTTCTTCCATTTACTTCTTTTCTTAGTGATAACTGTTTGGAATGGAGATTCTAAAAACTTGGGCTTCTTTGTTGTTCTCTGGCTCTTTGCACGTAGCCCCTGAACAAACTCTTTCAATATTTCACCTCTTTCCTCCCTCCTTTTCCTTTCCTTTTTCTTTTCAGTAACTTACTCGGTTACTTTCACCTCTTCAGGGTGTATAAAGATCACAGTTATGAGTGTATATCACAGAAATAGACATGAGCAAATATCACAGGTAAAATTCATGTATCACAAATAATTAATGAGCAAATGTCACAGACAATTTGTTTAAGTCACAAAATTAAAGTAACTATCACAGGAGATATATAAATGTCATAACAAATAGTCAAATTTCACAAATAATAGGGAAGTATCACAGGGCAGATGTAAATATCATAGGCAACATGCATGTATGACAGGAAATTATTAATTGTCACAGAGTATAACTAATTGCCACAGATAATACGTAAGCATCACAGCAAATAAGTAATTATCACATGATTTACGTAAGTGTTACCTCCTCAACTTCAATGACCATGTCTGCTCTGTCATCCTTAACTTCCTCAATTTATTTGCCTTAATCATCTTCTTTCTCTGCCTCATATTTTCTCTCTATCTAAGGCTGCATAAATGTCAAAACAATAAATGAAATTTTTATAGAGAACAAACGAGCACAAGAAACAGGAAATAAGATATTACCTCATCATCCTTTTTTTTCTTTTCCTTGTTTCTGTTCAGCAATTTTTTTCTCAATATCGGCCTTAATGGCCATCATATTAATGTCGCGAGCAACAAATTCTTGCTCATAGGCTTCGTTCAACATTGACAGCTTGTCATAAGTTTCAATCTATATTAGCAATTAAGTTTCAATGAGCAAATGTCACATATAAGAAGGTTACACTTAAAGTTCACATAAACACTACATCTATCATAATAAGTTGGCAAATATCACAGGAAATAACCAATTGGCACAGATAACAATGTATCACAGTCTACATGTAAATGTCACAAAAAATAAATAAAAATCACAGAGTAACACTTATTATCACAGCCAACATATAACAGTCACATACAATAAATAATAATCACATAAAAAACTATTACCACAGTCAAAATGTAAACAATAATCACATAAGAATTAAACTTATCTCACCAATGCAACAGTCGATTGACTCATTTCCTCTTTTTTAACTTTTTTCTTTCTTAAAGAGTTTTTAGAGTCAACTTCCTACTCTCTTTTTGCCTTCATCTTTCTAGGCTCTTGCTTGATCTCCTCATGGACATACCGCGGCATATCTTGCTCCGGTAAGATATGAATTGCGGCTTCTGATTTCTTCATAATCGTTGCAGTCCGTAACGAACCCACTTTCTTACCTTCCTATGTCCAGTTTGTCATTAGTGGCTTAGAATCATTGACTCTGGTTGGCTCATTGATGTTTGTTATCTCATAGTACCATAGCTTCAAAATAGCAATATTCAATCAATGAAGTATCACAAGTTAGATTCAAATGTCACATGTAAAAGACAGATGCCAGAAGTTAGATACAAATGTCACATGTTAACTACAAATATCACAATTAAACAATACATATCAGGGACAAATGTCACATATAGCGCACAAACGTCACATATGAGTATCATATATCACATGTAAAAGACAACAATCACATATAAGGGGAAAATATCACATATTAACTACAAATATCACAATTAAACAATGCATAGCAGGGCAATGCATAGCGGGGACAAATATCACATATGGGGCACAAACGTTACATATTAGTGTGATATATCATATGTAAATAACAATGATCACAGATAAGGTGCAAATGCAACATATTAATTATAAATAACACAGATAACTCACCGATAGTAAGGGAGCGCAGCCGCTAAGATATGTATGCCCCTTTTTAGCTATATTGGCAGCTTTAAAAGAGTCTCACAATTCATTGTAGATGATCGTCGCCCATGTAAAATGATCAACCATATATATTCGAGTCATATACTTGAACATATGCCGCGGTGCATTCATTCTAGCGGTTGGAGTCCTTATCATTGTGAGTTGATAAAGGATTTGAAGCATAACAAAATTAAAAACATCCGATTTTCTTTTTCGACCGAACCAATTTATCCAATAAGGCCTCAAGTTAATCTCGGCCACTCTTGTATTTTTCTTGTTGCTTGTTGCTGAAGTATGTACTCCATATCCTATTCGCGGTATCGCGATTCCCTTTCGGTTTCTCCCCTTCATCCTTGAACCGGATATGTTTTTGCACCCAATTTACATCAAATGTGTAGGCTTGTTTTGTGCCTGTTTGGCTATTCTTAAAAAAAACTTTCCAGTGGCCAAATCTAGATGATCTAGCAGTAGCATGATCATGGCTTTGTCGGATGGAAGTGCTCCAAAACTAATATAGTTTTAAAAATTGGAGGATCCATAAGCCTTCCAATGTTCGGCCCTCATTCGTGGAACAATTTTATCCATGAATTCACAATATACACGAATATTACAACTATTCTGATATTACCCTTACTGTAAAACACAACACAACCGAAGCTAAATCTACTTAGGGTTCTACTATGGATAAATTCACAATGATAAACAAAATAAATGACCAAATATGGATAATTTAGTTTATACTTATAACTCAACCTTTGTTGTTGTTGATTCAGATGACTCAGATGATGCAAATGATGAATTCGTCATCCTGTATTTTCAACAAACTGAGGTGAGGGTTTGGTGAAGAAGAGAGACTTGTCGGAGCCAGCAGACGATGAGCTTGCGGTCGACAGGGGTCCTTGTCCGCCGCAGACGAGCTTGCGGACGACGAGCGGACTAGCGAATGCCAAGATTGGAGCGTCGACGAAGACGATTCGAACTGAAGCTGTAGGGGTTCTCGTCGGCAGCGGTGGAGAAGCGAGATCTTGAGAGGAAGAGGGTTTCGACAATTAGTTGCAGAGAATGGTTACGAAAATCGCGCTCAAAAAGGGGATTTTCGAAGCAGTTTTTTCGATTTTTAAATAGGAATGGTAATTTCGGAATAGCTTTATAGGGTAGTGTGTTTGTACAGCGTTTGGGGCCTAATTACACTCATGTTTCGGTATAAGAGCCGGGGAGCAATAGTTTTTTAACTAGGGAGGAGGATGCAAAGTTTTTAGAGTTCCTCCAAACAATTTTTCCTAATATTAAATTTTTACCTAACTCTTTTATGGAGTAGTAATAATTTAATGTTTGTTCAGAATGTTGTGAAGCAGGCAGCGACGTGAGAAATAAGTAAGTTACATCATAGCATTGATCACATGGACTATTCTACTTCTTTATTTTTTTTTTTTTCCTTTTTTCCTCTTTATTTTATTTTTTAACTTGCACAATTAACTTTACCAGTGAAACGGTACCCGAGAAAAGCAAAGGTCTCCACAAGTGAGAAGCATTTTACTTCCTTTCTTGTAAAACCAGCAGTGTAACATATTCATACATCCTAAAAGCTTATTGCCCTATACAACCAAAAAACCATTAGTAAAATGGTTGAGTTCTTCCCTCTCTACTCGTAGAAGACCTCCTGGTTAATACATTGGGCTCCTGTTCATTTACCCATCTACCTCTAAAATCTCCAGTTAGTTTCCTACACTCACTACTTGAATCATCAGAATACAAAAACTGAGGGCTCTCCCTACCCTCTACCTCTCTCCTTTCCCAACCCAACCTCTCTCCATAACTTAATCCATCACTTTCCCCGGCGAAATTATGCCTCGCTACCAAAGGGGACGACATGAAACCATCAGAATCCTCAGAGAACACTGAAGAATTCATACTGAACCGACCCGAGCCTCCAAAAATGTACTCAGAGAGCTCCTCTGTAGTGCTGCTGGTGGACTCTCGAGTACTGTCGGTGCTGCATGAACCTTCATCTGAGCCACTGAGAAGGGAAGAGTTATCGCTAGAGGAATCTGTTCTTGAGAAGGGAAGTCTACTTCCATTGAAGATATCGGACGGCTGGAAGCTTGACAGGTGGTGGGTGTGCGATCGATAAGGAGGAGGATGATCGTAGCTCCTTTGTTGTGTGATTGATTGTGAGCCTTTGGTTCTCTTGCTCTTTGAAGGGTCATGAGATACAGTGCTTCTGATCAAGCTGGGGGCTCGGGGTGAACACCTGAAAAGGCAGAGACATGTTTGTTCCAACAAAAGTGCAGAATAATGAAATTAACTTCAGGGTCTTTGGATAGTAGAGTTACCTTGAATAAAAGAGTATGTATGCGTTTTTTGTTAAGACACTTGCAAGTTCCACAGGCTTTACCTGGGGAAAAAGCAAAGAAAGAAAATATATCAGAGAAGGTTACAGACAAGGTAATACACTATTACTATCATGGTCACTTTCAGCATTAAAGCATATTCATTGGAATGAATTTCACAGATGAATACAAAAGAATCAAGCTAGCTAGTAAACTCAAATGGCTAAAAACAACTAGAGACTTTTAAAATGATAGTGAGTTAGAGATCCTGATCAAGGCAACTCAACAAGGAGGGACTTCTATAAACAAGGAGTAACTTTAACATCCACAATTGGTAACTATTACACTAATGATTATTCATCTATTTTACACAAAGCAAATTTACGATAACTCATAATACAAGAACAATCACAGCAAATAACTATGTTAAGTCACGTTAGTTGATCCCCAGTAAATCAATCAAAGCTACAGAAAGATTAAATCAAAGATAAATGACCGAGTAATTGATTAATTCAAGGATAAATGACCGTGTAATAGGATATGTTTAAGTCAATAACTACAACAGAGCCAACTCATCTTAAGGTTGCACAAATGACCTGGTGAATGCTGCTGTAAATGTAAGACCAGCCAGAAATGTGCTACTACCACACATTAAAAATTGAAATAGAAAAACTAAACAATAAGGGGGAATATATCAAAGACATAAAACAAGAATAGAGAAGCTTGAGAGATCAATGAATAAGGAGCATACCTTGCTGTCGTCAGTCTTGTACCACTTCCCTTGCGTGCTCTTAACATAACATATATAGTGGCCAGAGAATGCAGCATTCATGATATCCTGGTGAACAACTACAGCATAGAGGCTGTATACTGGGGATTTATCATCTGTCTCGCTCATGTAAGGAGCTAAATCCAGGATCTCAGGAAATCGAACTGCTTTGTTGAGTTTACCAAATTTACCCGACTGTGGAACAGTTTAAGGGTTAAGAAACTAAAAGTGTGAGAATACAACTCAATGTTAATCAGCTTTGCAGGACATAATAATGAAGTTCTTAGTCACCTGAAATCTTTTTAGAGCAATTGTCAGGACATTTGGAGCTTCCAATATGGTCAGCTTCTTTTTTGCTCGCTCATACGACTTGCATCTGGGGAGAGAAAAGGTAAAAGAAGGACAATCATCAAATCGATTACAAAAATACCTAAAAGGCATAAACTAAATTTTATGTGTACAAGTTCCAATGCAAGAGCAAAGAACAATTATAGGACATCAATACAAGAAAGCAAAAATGTGCAAGAGCAAAGAACAATTATAGGACATCAATACAAGGAAGGGTGGGGAAAGGAAGGGTACTTGTCAATTTCACCTTCTCATTTTAGTATAAAATTTCCCCTCATTTCCCTCCTCTACCCTCCCAATAAAACTCCCAAACAAGGTTAAACTCAAATTTCTCTTCCCCTTCCCTTCTCTACCCTCTATCCAAACACAGCATAAGTTGATTGAGGGCTCTATCCATTAACTTTTTTATCTATTGGATTTGCTTAGATTTGCTTTGAGATTCGTGTTGGCATGTAATATTCATCAAGGCTTCTTTGAGATGTGTGCATTGATGTGTATCACATGGCAACACGAATCTCAAAACAAACCTAATGTACAAAAAGTTGGTGGACAAATGATTCTATCTATTAAAGTTTCCAAGAACTTTAATACACATATCCACTTAAATTTTTAATATACACATCCACTTAAGTTCAGAAGAACTTTAATACATACACGCTTAAGTTTTTAATACACATCTACTTAAATTTACAAGGCTTTTCATACACACACTTGAGGAATATGGATATCCATGATACCAATGACCAAATTTGGTCCTTGATACTTGATAGTGATGGGGCCCACTCTCATCCACTCATGCAATAGGTGAGTAATTGAGTGACGACTATTTTTAAGTGGGCAACTTTAAATATGTGGATAGGATGATGTCCTCCAAGAAAACTAGTAGATACTACAAATTTACATTTTTGTGGAAAAAAAATCAACTTCAAGTTGAGTTTACAATCTTGATAGGACAGAGACCGGGAAATGAAACCAAATACCTACCTAAATTATATTTGCTAGCAAAGAATATTCACCATATTTCCAATTTCAAATGCAACAGTGTCCAAAGCATAGTTACTCGTATTACTATTAAACAGCCGGGTAAAAAATCTCAACAATTATGTCTTATCCATTCATACAGACACTCCGCAGGTGTAAAGCTTACATAGGTAATCATATTAGAAATGGCTGTCATGCACCCACACATGCAAGCAGACATGCATGAACATGCACATACACAATATACACAATATACACACCATATGATGCATGCATTTAGGATCATGTAAAAGCTATGTTGCACGGACACAGGTGCAAGTGCGGACATACACACAGGTGCGGTGATACGGGACATGTCAAAATTGTAAAAGTTAGAATACGGGGACATGGTTGCATAAATACATATTAAAATTAATAACCTATATGAGATCGATATTGTTTTTATTCACATATTATGAGAACTAAAATCATTAAACCATTCTTATTTCTCCTTTATTGAGAAGATTGTAAAATGAAAAATCGCTCATTTTTGAACTAGATACCCCTAACAACCCTTGAACATCATACTTACGATGCAGGTATGTGCTAAAAAATGAACTCGTGCCGAGCGCAACAAGTTGCTTAAATTTGTGACGAAGTGTAGAAAATACGTTCAAGAAGTTGTATCATGAGTTTTATAAACTAAAACATGTGTTGTATAATTGAGTCACATCTAAATAAATGTATGTATATATTCCAGAAGTGTCCAAGGAGCATCCAACACGAACAGGGATATGGGAAGTGTCGGACACAGATACAAGAAGTGTCAGAGACGGATACTGAAGTGTTGGAGACGAATACCGGAGTCTAGATAAAGTATCCGGGTAACCTAGCATACATGTGAATGCACATGCATACATGTATATGCATGCATATGTTGACATGTACGCACTCGAGACTTATACATGTATAAATCCGACATGTAAGACACTGAGACGTAAACAGTGAGTTATGGAATTTACAAACAAAAATAGAAAAGTCCTGCCATTTCCAACAGTTCACCAACCAATCAACAAGAAGTCAAAGGATGCGCTAAATAGTACAGGCGATAGAGTGAGAAAGGATAGAAAACAACACCAACCTGTTACAATGGTACTTGTTCTCCCCATCTAGAATTTCCGTAGCTGTAAACCGAGCAAGCGCTTCTTCCAGTGTTCCGATGCCCCCGTGTATTTCCACCGTAAGATCCATCATTTGCTCCTGTCGCTCAGATTTTCCCCGGCACCTTGTGCATTTTATCTGTATGCATCAATCAACTATCAATCACTCAAGTAAATAGAAAAGGACAGAGGAATCTTAATAAAGCAATTTCAAATGATAAAGAAAATGAGATGATGATATATACACTACCCTGGAGCGAAGGTAACCACCAAAAATTAAGTGTACAAGTGTCGTCTCTTCAACTTTTGTTCCAGCTGCCTTAACCCCAGCTTCCTTAAGGCATACTGATTGCATGGTGTCAATAGCATATCTGTTCAAACATATCATAGCCTGAGCAGAAGCCTTCAAGATAATTAAACAATAATTATAAAAATTAAGTCAACCTATATGTTTCCAACAAATCCAATTTAATAATATTGTCAGATCTACAGTTGTGGGAAGTACTCTTCAAGAAGAGATGCATAATGGAGGGAAAAAGCCTCTTTAGGCAAAACCTCCAATCTAACAGTAGCAAACATTAAGGTATCTGCAGGTTGACTAGAGATCTATCTTTTGTTCTTGCAACAACCAGTAAAAAAACACCTACGACCAAGACGTGTTCTGATACTGTCAAGGAACCAGACTCGCTTTTGCTAAAAAAAATTACTATGAAAGATATTACTGTGTAAAAAATAACTCTTGTTTGGCTACATGCAGAGTTGATGCTGTCAAAAATGCTATTTTACCCCAAATATCAAATGTTCATTGAGTATGTCATATAGGTCTCAAGTGTCCAAAGTCTCCAAAAGCATTCCTAGAAGCAATGCTAGTTGGGTAATCTCCATGGAGGAACACTGCTGTTATGTTTAATTCCAGTGCACATTAGCATGTTCACCATCAACTATAGATAAATCATATGCTACGTGTTTTTCACTGTGATAAAATATTCCCTTCGATGCCTAGTTTCTGTAAAAGCACAAAAGATTGCAACTCTATGTGTAGATAGCAATGTCATGTTACTACACACTGATGTGTAAATGGAGTGTCTTGAAGGCAAAGATTATAAACATGTCTAGCACGAGAAATAAATAAATATACCATGACGCTGAGAAATATCAAAAGACCAAGACCATGTCTGAACTTAGACAATATGGAACGAAAAAACCCTATAGAGAATGCGATAGCATGCAACCTCATATCACGCAAATAAGGCCTTCTAAATTATTTGTCTCTTGCGGGTCTCTAAACCTTGATTTCGCTTGGACTTTGATATCCTTTCATTGAGAACATCATTTGATTAGGAACTCTAAATTAAGCCATATATGTTTCCCTGCTTGACCATGTAACTCATGGGGATAATTATATAGATATCAGTAAGAAGTGTCCCCCAAATAAGATAGAGATGCAATTAAAGCCCATGCAACCAAGGAGAAGTGTCCAAAGATGTAGACATGAAAACCCCTAGAAGGGATGAAGATTCTATGATAAACTATTGTAATTGATTTGTTATGTGAGGCATAATTTAAACCAAAGAGCCAAACTAGGAGACATTCTAATACACAGCATTTATCATAAAGTAGCTTATCAATATGTATCATTGTGATGTTTTAGTAATTTACAAATAATAATGTTTGACAGCGAGGGATATGTGAATTGCTAAAGGCGGATCAGTTGGTGAAGGTATTGCGAGGATAGGAACCTGGCTTTATAATGGAAAGTTGGAAGCTCTCTCTTGCTAATGCTTCTGAACTCAAATCTCCTCTGTTAGCCATGGTATTCTACTGTATGGAATAATTTTTCTCAACCTAAACATTGTTTTATCTTGTAGCTTGTGATGCATTAGAGGCTTCTTACTATGGATAAACTTGATAAGATGGGGATTAATGTGGTTAATGTATTCTATCGGCAAAGAGCAGTGTTTTAAAAAACCTATGCCTAGTCCGCCTAGACGTACGCCTAGGCTTAGGCGATAACTAGGCCGCCTAACTAGCGCCTAGCGCCTGGGCGATATCTAAATTGCCCACCTAGATTTTGGGAGTGTTTAGAGGAGCATTATTTGCTTACATGGACTGCATCCTTTATAGACATTGATCGTAATTTTCTGTGTTGCAGCCTCTACATCCTTCAACCTTCTTCAAACTCGTTTAACCTCCAAATATGAATACCTCAACTACCTCCTCCGACCTTCAGCAAAACCTCATCTATCACCACTTGAAGGAAGAAAGAAATTCGTCTAGATACCAGTCCAGCACCTAAGTTTTCTATAACATTGACGTTTACTATCAATTATTACAATTAAAAATTAAAAAAGAACACCTCCTAGGCTCTAGCCGTCGGGTCCAATGTCTAGGCCTCCTAGCGCTTTTTATAACCTTATTAGTTATTATTTTGGCTATTTAATATTTAAGTCAGTGTTGTAAAAAGCGGCAGATAGCGGGGCTATAGCGGCGCCTTTCGCGGTCGCGGCCCCTCAGCGCTACGCGGAGGGGTGTTGCGGTCGAATTAAGCGAGGGAAACCGCTTTGTGTTCGTAAAGCGCGTAAAAGCGCTCAAAAGCGGGAAAAAAAGCGGGAAAAGCGGGAAAAAGCGAAAAAATCCGCTAAACCCGCTAACCCGCTAAACTCATTTTCTGATTTTTTCGCGCTGAACCCGACCCGAACCCAAACCCGATTTGTTAAAAGCAGATAAAACACGATTTTTTCTCTCCCACTCCCGAACCCTAGCCGCCTGCGAATCTTCTCCGTTCCAACGACGATTTTTTCTCCCACGACGACTTTGTCTTCCTCAGAGCTCCACAGCAACGCAACTCTAATTCCTCAGAGCTCCTTCACCCGTTCCAGCGTTCCAGCGACTTCCGCTCTCCGAGTCCAGCCAGCGTTTCCAGCAACGCAACCCTTTTTTCCGTTCTAGTGTTTCCAGCGACTTCCGAAATCCGAGTCCAGCCAGCGACTTCCGCTCCCAGCGACGAGACGACTTCCGAACTCCGAGTCTCCAACAAGTTTCCCTCAAGTCTCCAACAGCTCAAGCTCCCAGCGTCATCTCCATCTCTGTTATCTATCATGACCTTATCTTGCTTTGCTCATTTAGTCATTTAGTCATTTAGTCATTAATCTATACTTGAATATTTTATTTTTTAGGTCAACTTTCTAGTAGTTAATATAGTGATGATATTACTAACTTACTAATCATGCTTTTTTTGTTGAGTATTTTCATATTAGAGACTTGAAAGTAGAAGAAATAGGACAAATAACGGTCTTTTGGATAAACAAGTACATTTTTTCATTCTTTAATCTTTATAATTATAGTACTTCCGAGTCTCCAACAAGTTTCCCTCAAGTCTCCAACAGCTCAAGCTCCCAGCGTCATCTCCATCTCTGTTGGCTAGATCTGCAACAGAGGAAAAGGTAAAATAGCTTCCTTGTCTTCTCTTTCATTTTAAACCTTCTCAATGTTCTCATAGCTTTCCTGTCTTCATTTTCATTTTAATTGTTGGCTTGTTGCTATATGAGACACTTTCTAGAAAGAAGAGGTTTCATTTTCTGATTTTTCTCTTCTGAATTTGCTCGGATGTCACAGACAAAGTGTGTTATAATTTTTCTGATTAGTTGGCGATAAGCTTGTTCTGTCTGTTTTCTTGATGGGAAGAGGAAGTTTGTCTGTTTAGAATATAAATAAGTTCTTAGCTATCTAGTATTTCACCTAAACAGTTATGAGCATGTAAATCCATTTAATTTAATTTGAAGTGGGTCAAGGCTTTTGATTTGTGTTAGGCTGTTAATTCTTGCTGAAGTGCATAATTTGTCTGTGATGGGCATGTTGTATTCTTTCCCTTGCTATAAAGCAAATATAGATATAGATTATAAGCCTTCATGCATTAGAAGTTACTAATCATGCTTTTTTGTTGAGTATTTTCATATTAGAGACTTGAAAGTTGAAGAAATGGGACAAATAACAGTCTTTTGGATAAACAGGTACATTTTTTCATTCTTTAATCTTTATAATTATAGTACTTTGTTAATATTATGTAATTATTACACATCTATTTCATGTTTAGGCATTAAGTATGCATTTATAGAATTTTTAGATTTTTTATGAATTTTCTTATTATTTAGGATATTTAAATATATTTAAATTTGTCCGCTATTTGACTGTGCGCTATTTGCCGCTATTTCGCCGCAATAGCGCGCAATAGCCTTAGCGGTACCTCGCCGCGACGCGCCGCGATCCGCTATCAATAACCTTGATTTCAGTATGTATGGTTTATTGTGGATCTAAGATTGTTGTTTTTTCTTTTTCTTTTTTTACAAATTTATATGAATTTAATACATATTTTTATTAATTATTATAATTAAATAATTTTAAAAATACCGAAATGCCTAGGCGCCGCCTAGACATACGCCTTGGCATCTAGGCGCTAGGCGCTAGTTCAAACGCCTAGTCCGCCTAGTGCCTTCTGTAACATTGGCAAAGAGCGAGAAACTATTTTAGACTTGTTTTCTTATTGCTCTTACTTTGGAGATGTTTGGAATTCAGTTATCGATTGGATGAATTTCAAGAGGAAAAGTTGTGACTGGATTCATGTTCTTGAATGGTTTTGTTACTGCTTGAAGGGAAACTCCTTAAAGCATTCGGCAAGAGGAGCAGCTCTAGTTCATACAGTTTACTTTCTTTGGCATGAAAGGAACCAAGGCTTCATGGTGGTGCTAAGAAAAAGTCTGCAGTTGTAGTATAGCTGATTAAGGTTGGTGTACTTACAAGTATGGTCAACTCTCCAATTCCATCTAAATTTTCTGGTTAGATGGCATCACTGTAAAACTACATGTTGGTGTCCCTCACTATTTGTAAATATTTAGATTTTTGAAGTGTAGGGCACTATCTGTAATCCTGGGGATGCCTAGGAATTTGTTTGTACATATTAATGCTTGATGCTAATGGAAATTTACTTAATTTACCAAAAAAAGATAACTTCTCAGTACTATGAGAATTTCTCCAATTGATGCTTAAACAAGTTAAACATGAAAAGCAGTTAGACTTCACAACAGTTTAACATTAGTTAGTCAAGAAAATCAGACTTCACTAATTTCATAGCTGCACAATTGATCATTAGTTCCTTCATAAGGAACACATTATGAATAACTTAAACAAATCTGCGACTAGATCATCAGATATTGGTCACTGAAGGATTACAAACCAATCCATGTTAGAGACATGAAACGAAGATAGACATCACGAAAGACAAATCCACTTCCATTTGCAAAAAAAAGCAGAGTGCAATATTTGTTAGTCAAGAAAACCAGATATGACTTATGAATAATTCCAGATCTGCACGATCGATCATTAATTTCTTGAACAGAAACTACTTATGAATGACTTAAACAAGTCTGCAACCAAATTAGCTCAGACACTCTTCACTCATTTGATTTCAACCCGATAATGCATAAGAGGCAATGAGTAACACAGGAGCTATCAACTCACCTTAAGAATTCATGGGCATCTTCTTCTTTTCCATGGCCAAGATTACTTCCAATGTTGTCTATGTGAGAAAGTATCCCAATAGGGGAAAGAGGAGACTGTCCTTTTTTTGCTTTCACAAGAAGGCTTGCAAACTCGCATGTGAAACACCAGTCTCTCCTGGGACCTATAAAGTAACAGGACATGAAAGAGAACATGTAAATAAACTCTTCATCAAACATTTAAACTAATACAGGTCCAGGAGAGAGGGAAACATACATATGTCGGCATGCAATCCCTTAAGAAGATATGAAGTTAGTGGACGAGTGAATGCCAAGCACTGAAGCACAGCATTTGCATAACAGCTGCAACAATTAGTCAAGGCAAATTAGAACTATGCAACAATTAGTAAAGGCAAATTAGAAGAAAAGGAAATCATCACAAATTCGATAAACAGATGCTAGCAACATACAGAATTTGCTTATGACCCAAATTTAGAATGATATTCAGCTTCAACATTTCAGAACAAAATGCAGTAACAGAGTTCTAAGAGCTAAAAGAATTGCCATACAAATAAGAAATTGCATGTGCTGGTGACAATCATAATTTTGCATTAAACAAGAAATAACCATGTTCCACAGGATGTATCAGAAGAACAGATGAAACCTTTTCTCATCAAGTTAACAATTAGCACTGGGTATCCAGATCAGAATCATATTAACAACAGCAAAATAGAACGATTGAGCCTAATTGTTTGTACCTAGAAAGCCAGAACTATCCAGATCTGGAACTATATCTAGAAACTATACGAATGCAAGAAAATAGAAAATTTCAGAATTCTAAGAAAATAGAAAAATGTGAGGCTAACTACTTATACCCATCTAAGGAACTATCCTCAATCTGGAACTATATCTAAAATCAAAATAATACAAAAGGATGCAAAAAGAAACTGAAGAATTATTGATGCGCCAAATGGTTCTTAAAAAGGTTGACCATAGAATTATATTTATTCCTAGAATATGGTTTCTAGCACAAATGACACCAGACTTGATGCTAATTATTACTGCTACTGTCAGACAGTCTTGAGTGAAATTTGAACTCAATGATACAGGGAAACGAGCAAAGAATGCTTATTTCAGGGTGAATCCAGTAAAACAAAAGTATCATGGTGAAGGAAAATTCAGAAAGCACTTAGAAATATCATGCTATCAAACAATTATGTTTGAATAATCAGGACATGCATATGATCACTCTAGAATGTTTTAGCAAACTGTTACCTGTTGCCACAGTTTGTAAGGCCACAAGGGCGTATTTCCACTTTGTCATTGTAAAGTTTCACGAAGAGATCATATGGAAAAAGCATCTGGTAGACAAGAACGATATGTTACTAACAAAACAAAAGCAAAGGATCAATAAACTACACCTAGTTACCATTTCCGGTTAAAGAAAAAGAACAAGTAAATATTAAATAACACCTTGTACTTTCGAGATATATCACTCCTAGCTCCTGATGAATGCTTTGAAAGGTTTGAAGATTTGAATTGCTGAACCACTCTCCTCACTGATGTTTTTATGTCACTGATACCATTTGGAACAAAGACAGTAGCCTCAACTGGCTTCACAGCAAGTGCAGGTGCACATTCATTCTTTGCTTTTATAACACGTGAAACAGCATGCTTTGCACCATCTGAAGATTCATGATCCACATAAGAGGAAGAAGCTGGAGTCCTCAAGTTTTTAGACTTCAATAACCATACATCAGTGCTCTTCCCATCAGCAATAGAGCTTGACTTGTCTGTTACCGAAGCTGCTGAGCACCTATGTCCAGGTTGAGCAATACCTTCTGGTGGAGTAATTCTGCAAGAAGAATCTTCACCTTCAGATCTTTTTTCGGATGGTAGCGATTTAGATACAGTCCCACAAGAAGATGGGGCAACAGTCTGAACATGATCATCCTTAGTGTCAACAGAACCTTCAGGATGCCTGGTTTTCGTATGATTACCCGAGCCTATAGAGCTTGAACCAAGACTGCCTGAAGTACATTCACCATCACATGTTTTGCTACTGTGTACCTTCTGCTCAATATTACTTGTACAGGATAAATTATTCATAGGCACACCTGCATTGGCAGGTGGATCTCTTTTAGGGCTTGCCTTAAAAGTATGAATTTCTGTTATGTGGCCTTCAGGCAAAACCTCATTGCAGGAACGCTTCTGCATTTTCCCAGAATGGAGAACAGGAGGTACATCATTGACAGAAGAATCATCTGATGTCTCGAAAAGCCCAGAAAATGTAGAGCAACTAGATGATGACGATGATGATGTGTCTGCAAAAGATTCTGAGTTGCTCTCTGTTTCAGGTACATCAATAAATGACTTAACCTCAATATGATCCTCATTACAGACAACTGGAGGTGAGTGGGATGCAGGTGATGGTCTTGCAGAGGACGCCTTAGGTTGTTTGGGCTGAGTCTTTGTTCCAATGTCCGCAATATTCTCTGACAGATCAGATTGATTAGTCTGTAAACATTTAAAATTGGAAACACTTTCCCCACCATTGTTGTGGCCATCAATATTGGGAGGATGACATTCATCCTTGTGGCCCTGTCTCCAATGAATAATCTGGCATTTACCTGAGCTGCATAATTAGATGAAGAGAAAGTAAACATTATGATCTTCAATAAATGTTTGAGAATATCTTATATCCACCAATTAACTTCTCAATTACATTATCATACTCCTGTAACTCAACCCAATATTATCTTACATGTCAAAAACATGCACGAATATCACTCTAAGACCATGGTCTTACATCAATAAACATTTAGGTATCAAGAAGAAAAAGCACACAAAGGATATGTGTAAAAATTATGGAAATTTTTACATGTTTATGTGCTAATTAGCCATTTATTTTGGATTATAATAATATATCATTGCTGAAACGCCAGTTAATTGCCTGCTCCAACTGAAGGAGGTAAAACCTTAAAAGCCAGTAGTTGACAATATATGCTACGCTTCAAATTCTAATAAAATATTGGTTAAAAATGCAACCTTCTTGTTCAATTGGTGCCTAGTATTTTGTGCTAATCTGAACTAAAACTACAAATTGTAAAAAGTCTTAAGAGACTTTTTTCCTTGAGTAAATACCCATTTTTTTTATATGTGCCTGGGATAAATACATATCAAATTACCGGGCTAAATTCTGTAATTGAAATGGAACCTTACACCATGCAAAATCACCCACACAATGAACAGAATAATCTTTTATTCATTCTAATTTCTTCACTATATTTCCACCTGATATGGACAGTCTATGTTGAAGAAAATCCTCAGATCCGCTAGAATGCCTTGATGTTTAACTTTTTCTCAAAATATGGTGACCTTGACATTTCTTCTATCCTTTCATTGCCACCCCCTAACAAATACTAAAAATGAAAAATCTTAGATAAAATATGAATAACAGAAAAATAAACAAATGTCACTGGACACATTGGTGAATCAGCTGTAAGTCTTGTTAGATTTTACATTATGGTTTCAGTATTTTGCCTTCCTCACGCTTCAACCTTGAATATTTATCATTTAATACCCCCTTTAGAAAGAAACATCCACCCCTGCAGCAAACCTGTCCACATTTCTGGCCCCTTACAGTGACTTTCCACTTAGATTTCATATAAATACAGAAGCTGGATTTTAATACAGATTTCACACAAGTACAGAAGCTGAACCTTAATATAAATTTCTGCGAAAAATGATTATTTTATTAAAGTTGATTTGTACATTATTTTATGCCTTACAAGCACAATATCAACATATTTAGTTTCCAAATATAACTTCAAAAACAAAAACATGTTCAGGTTTTGAGAGGATTTAGATTCCAGACAAACGTATAAACAAAATAACATAGAATTTATTTACAGTCACAGAAAAAACATGTTATGTGCTCATATATCTAGTAGTTTGGAGATATGTAATAACCCAGCACCTTGATGTGTGTCACAAATAGAAAATTTGTGTCATTTATGAGAGGATAGAGATCATAAGGACCCAAAAATCATTTGTAGATGTAGACAAGGAATAAATTTAAGTAACTTTCATTTCACTAAGGGGTCGTTTGGTTGTAAGAGATTCACAACACAGTTTCAAAACCCACCAATCATGGTATTCTGTGTAGTTATGCTGTTAGGACTAGTGCAATTTCAAAGAACCTATAATTGCGCATTGTCACCAAAACGGCTGTAAGTGATGCTACCATTAGACTTTCTGCAACATAACTTACAACCAATCACATGTTTTTTATATTTAAGAGTAATGCAAACCTCCCCTTGACCCTTGCAATAACAGAAGATCATTCACATGATCACATCAAATATGAACTGCCGCTAAACCAACTAGTACAGATTTATTTGTAGCGACATTACTTGCAACTAAAATAAAAGTGGTGATACTTGTAAAACTATAATTTACAGCTCGGGATCTCAATATGGTTGGATTAAACATAACTTGTGTAAACCCAATCCTATAGATTAGGGTTTGGGAAGATTCTAGAATCTGACTGAACCCAATAAGTACTATAAACTATCCCCACAGGATCCCTAACAATCCAGCAATCATTATGTGACATTTGTACATAATACATGCATATGTGTGTATAATAGACTGCTAATAACAAAATAGTTGGAGACTTGTCAGAAAATGTGTTTAGCATTCTCATTCCTGATGCCAATTTACTGAAATAAATCTTGAAATATTAAATATCAAAGCCTCTAGCAGCTCTAGATTATCTTAAAATCATAACAACTACAATTTCTTTTTCTTTTTTCGCCTGAGGATTTAGAAATGAATGCAACACTATATCCTAATATCAAATGCAACAACATCATTTAGCAAAGTATGCAAAGTGTGCTAGGCATTGTAAAAGGCCCTTGTGACTGTATATATGCAGAGTCAGTGTCTGTAAAGCCTTGATTCCCATATTGGTTATCTAAATGAAGTTCTGTCTCCATTCAACTTTACTAAGAGAACCTCTGTTGAATTACTAATTATCACAACAACAGAATCTTTATTAGCTTCACCAAATTTCTTGATTTATACCCCATCTCTAAGAAGCTTATTTAACTTATGTTCTACAGTACCTAAATGGTGCATTCAATTATCTTTCTTGCATGTTGAAACTATCTCAAACTAGAATCTCACTTCATCATTAATTATGGATAATGCCAATTATTTGTCGACATAATAATTCTTGTCCTGCCTTAATTTAACTTATATCTCATTTCTTCAAAACATTTCAAGTTACAAAGTTATAATCTTGAAACATTACGTATTTATGAAACTTTCACTCATGTTCATGATATGTTAACAATTAAATAGTGATGTAGAAACATTCCTCAAGTACAATCCTCTTGTTTTACTAAACCAACAAAATTCCCTGATCTTATTATTTTTTATGAATAATTGAATCTTAGGAGACAAAAGAAATCATGATTAAGAATTTACCGGCAAGTGATATTAGTTACTCTCTCATGATCATATTTGTAGTTGATATAGTTCTAGCATTACGACAAACCAAATCAAATATATAGCGGCTTTAGGTGCTCTAGCCAGAGAGCCAGAGCAAATTCCATTTTGGCTATGTTTTTTCCATTACAATGTTCTTATGCGCGTGAATACCCCCGTTAGCGGATTTATAGAAGACTTTAATATTATCACCACTTTGGGTTCTAGGGCTTACTTCCTATCCCAAGTGGGAACAGTGACTAGCATTATAGGTCGTTGGGCGGCCGGAAGATTACTATGAGTAAGCAAGTTCACTATTGACGTTCATCTCCCAACATTATCGTGATATAAACCGCTTAATGCAATGGGCCTTATGAGAATTGACTTGACAGTGGTCGAGTATTGATTCAAGAAAGAGCCTTAATATCGTTAAGTGAGCTTGGACAAGTTTCTTAAAATTTGGGCTCTGTTGGTCCTCAACTCCTTGGAAGGCAGAGTAACAATTGGTTGGTTAAAAAAGATGGGAGACCATAATGATCTAACCTTTGTCAGCTGCAGTACTATGAGCAATCCTAGATGTGATTATTGACACTCAAATTTGCAACCAGCCCTAAATTCAACGAGGCAAATCATATCATGATACAAAAGGGACAACGTCTTGGATCTTGAAACCTAAGTACATTGACTTAACAAATCCACAAAGAGATTACAGATGTTCATACTTGATTGTTAATGTAAGGTATGAATTACACTGTGAGGTATAAATTACACTGTACCCTTATTGCACTAAAAAATAGCCACCAAATTCTTACTTGCACCCATAAACTACTTTTAATTACAGGAATTAGGGAACTTCAGTAAATCGTTCATTAGGCAAACTGTCAAACCCTAATTCTACCAACTGCTCCAAACTTCCACAAAAATCATGGATTGTTAATGTCAAGTATGAGTTATACAGTAATCTTAGAGGTTTAGTAAGTAGCCCATCAAATTCCTAGTTTGTGCCAAGTAAACTCACTTCGTACAATTCCACGAATTGGGAAATTCCCATCAAATTCCTAGTTTGTGCCAAGTAAACTCACTTCGTACAATTCCACGAATTGGGAAATTAGGGAAATTGTTCATTTTATCAAACCAATTGTCAAAACTCACTTCGTACAATTCCACGAATTGGGAAATTAGGGAAATTGTTCATTTTATCAAACCAATTGTCGAGCCCTATTCTTTCTCTTTTGTATTCTATAAATTGCCCTAAGAAAGCCACATAAATCCCCGAATCAAACCCTAACACCAAAAACAATATAAACTAATCATATCAACAAAAATCCTACCCAAAATCAGAAAACCAAGAAACCAACATACCAGTATCTGACAGCCTTGCATCTCGAGCACCTCGTCGTTGTGTGCCGATAGCACACAGCACACTGTGGCGGCAGAACCTGAGCTGGAGACGGTGGCATCGCCCAATCCCCAACCCTAATTTCTCTGCCGGCATCAGCTCCTTCGTCATCAACCTCCGGAGATGGCGCGAATGGAGGCACCATGTAAGCAAGGGCGGCGGCCGTCGGCCTCGGCCCTGGCCGCCTCCTCGGCTGCCAGCCCAGCCAGCCTCCTGACCTCCTCCCTCCTCGCCAACGCCATCCTCCATTTCCTTCGACCCAAGAACGCAGATCACGGCGGCCAACGACGACGGCGACCGCTACAAACCCTAGATCCGCCCCTCCGGGCATCTATACTCACTCCTCCACGTCAGCATAGACCCTCCACGTCAGCATCCTCCGTCGCGAGCGAGATCGTAAGGAATCGCAGAGCCCTCTCTTGGCTTCTTACCTCAAAAACAAGAGAATAATCGCTTGAACACGAAAGAGAAAAAGAGAGAATTTTTCCTAAGGAAGTTTGGATTTCCGAGTAGAAAAGGATTTGCGGTATGCTGTTCCTTCGGTGCTCCTGTACTAACCGATGTCTTGCATAGGACAAGGGGAAAATGCCGCTTTTTTACGCTGCTCCTCTGAGGACAACTTAACGAATGACGTACGTCCGCGGGCTCCACCGTTGGCGCCGTCTCAGACCGTCAACACCTACCGTCAAAATGGACGGTGCTGATGATGGGTGCCTTTTCCCATCTTATTTTAACCTTTGATCAAATCTGGCTGATGTCAGCTCCCATTCAGATTTCCGCATAGAAAGTTCTGTATTAAATGCAATAGCAATATCTTATATAAATGCTGCGTAAAAGAATCTTACATAAATGTTTTAAACATTTGTAGAATATCACGTTTATAAGTTTAGGGATTGTTTTTTATGCATTTTCACATAATTAACTTACATAAAAATAACTCATCTAGTGTATTTTTATTGTTTAGAAACTAAACTAATATGTGATACAAGTAGATGGTGATCCCAAAATATCAAATTTGTACAAACATGTATCCTAGGTGTATTCAGTGAGCATGGAACAACTTTTGCGGATGTTGAAGTACATTTAATAAAGTAGTCTGATAACAACTTATGAGGTTGTAATCACGAAGAAGATGAGACACATGAAAAATATGTGATAAAACAATAAAATCTAAAATCACAGCTGTAATAAGAGAATTGTAACAATTTTCTTATTCCGCTCTGTAAAAAGTGAAAAGTGCACTTAAATCCTGCCCTTATAACACATGTTAGCGAAATAATGAAATATTTTAGGTTTTTATTGCAGTTAAAATAAGATTTCATGATGTTGTCAAAAATAATAACCACAAAAGGTTAAAAAACAATCTTTGTCGAAAGAGAAAAATATGCACTAATGAAAGTCTAATATTGTTCCTTTCTTGCATCAAGAGATCAATTTAAGCATTATAGAAGCAACACAGACAATACTCACTATAGTTATATTTTTCCATGTTTGTGCAGATTTGAGCACACGGTATTGGTCTTGTTTGCTTAGTCTCTCAGTGAGAAAATTTTATTTTGTGTGTTCTAGATTGTCCAACTTGATTAGTCGATTATTCGGGTTCACAACTAATAGGTAACATGAATATTTATTTGGGCTTTCCCGGAAAATCGAAAAATCTCTTCACCAATTCAAAAAAATATAAATATAAATTTTTATTAAAGAAAGGAAATAAATTAATAGTTATGTATTATTATAATCAACTTCAAATAAGATGTGCTCTAAATTTACAATTGTTTTTGTTACTTCCGAGCTTTGTAGCATCTCATATCTATAGTAATCATTTCTTATAATTAAACCTTTAAATTAGTTTCAAGATTAATTTTAGTTCTAACACGTACATTTCTATAGAGCATAATGGAAAACATGATGGTAATTTTGATGCCTCTAAATTAGTTTCAGGAGTTAGTTCTAACACGTATAGAGCATACAATATTATGCATAGAAGTTATACATAATCTCATATATATATATATATATATATATATAGAGAGAGAGAGAGAGAGAGAGAATAATGGGTATCCTTGTCATAGGAGGGGATTTCCTCCTTGAAAATGATGTGGCACAATTCCACCATATGATATTCTCTCTCCTACTTTATTCATATGGTGAGGATTGTGGCCACATATTTTCAATGAGGAAATCCCCTCCTTGACATATGACACCCATTAACCTAATATATATTATATATATATATATATATATATATAATATATATATAATATATATATATATATATATATATATATATATATATATATAGAGAGAGAGAGAGAAAAACTTATATCAACTTAAGTGGACCATCCACCAAAGTTTTCTAATATATTGATGAAAAATCTCTTCATATGATGCACAGATCTCTAGGTATCATCAATGGATAGAAACTTTTGGTGGATGGTCTACTTAAGTTGGACATAAGTTTCTCTCTCTCTCTCTCTCTCTCTCTCTATATATAATAATATTATATATATTCAATTGTTTGTTTGTAGTTATGAAAATAATGTAAAGTGATTTCATATGCTAATGTGGCTTGTAAAGTGATTTCATAAAAAAACATGATTTTAGAAGAAAGTTGACATTGAAGTCAGAAAAAAAAATAAAAAATAATTCCAACCAATATGATCATTTGAGTAGGGACCATTTTTTACACTTTCCAAACAAATAATTAAAGTTATATTTACAAACCAAACAATCAATTTATGATTCCAATGGAATAAAAAACAAACAAAGAAAAATATAAAAGTGAAATTGATGAGGTGGACAACAACTTTCCAAGTTGTGTCGTAAATACTCAACTTTACCAACAACAACCAAATAGCCCCTAAAAGAGAATTTAAACAATGTAAAGTGATGAAAGCTGATATTGGGACCCACTTTTTTACATTTTTCATCCTTTTACATGGTAAAAACATATAACCAAACAGCCCCTAATGGGTATCCTTGACAAGAAGGGGGGTTCTCTCATTGACAATGATGTGGCACAATCCCCACCATGTGAAGTTCTCTCTCCTACTTTATTCTCTCTCCTTCACATGGTGAAGATTGTGCCACATCATTATCAATGAGAAAAATCACGTAGTGGGGATTGTAGAGAGAATTTCGCATGATGAGGATTGTGATACATCATTGTCAAGGAGGGAAATTCTCTCCTTGTCAAGGATACTCATTAATCTCTCTCTCTCTCTCTCTCTCTCTATATATATATATATATATATATATATGGAGAGGTTCTAATAAAAACCTCCTTAGCCTAAAAACTAAAAACCAATATCATCCATTGGATCTAGATGAATCCAATGGCTAGGAGTCAGTCAAACAGTCAACAGAATATGCATTAATTGCATGCATTAATTACCTCAACGAACACAAATCTGGATTCACTACAGTGAATCTGGATTCACTGCAGTAAAAAACGTGTTCGTTGAGGTAATGTACTGCAGTGAATCTGGATTCACTGCAGTGAAGGACGTGTTCGTTGAGGTAATGAATCTGGGTTCACTGTAGTGAATCTGGATTCACTGCGTTGATATAATTAATGCATGTGTTTAATGCGGTAATTAATGCATGTGTCTGTTGACTGTTTGACTAAATCTTAGTCATTGGATGAAGGAGGTTTTTAGTTTTTAGGCTAATGAGGTTTGTCACTCCCCGCTTCCCAAAATACAAGGGAATCGGGACGCGAGCAAGCCCGCGACGTATTAGACTGAGAAGAGATAAGTGCTAGACCCCGTCTTCTCAATCTAATACGCTAAGCGTCTGGAAATAAAACAATACGAAGTCACAGGTCCCCGATCACAATAGCAAGAATATAAAGACAACTCAGAATATGAAATAACATATCATCGAAAGTAGATCATCCGAGACATAAAATACGGGTCAACATGCCCTTATACAAGACTATCTGAATGAAATACTGGAAAGTATAATATACATCGATCATCAGAAGTAGAAAGAACTACAAAAGTAAACTAAGATCATTGATAGCTAGAGGGAATGACTAAACTTCGGCTTCTTCTTCTGCTTCATCTACAATGCAATCCTGCTGAGAATCTTCTGGCTCCTGATGATCTCCCAACTGAACATGTTCTTCTCCTAAGTCTGACGTACACCAGAGAAAACAGGTGTACGTCAGCGCACATAACGTACGGCAAGATCCCACAAAAAATAGATAACGAACGCGAAATCCAATGGCAAAAAACCATACGATAACGAAAACAACAAAAGGAACGTACAATTGAAATCGAGCCACAAATCAACATGAAACACTACTTAAAGTCATGATACATTAAGATCAGAATCGATCAGGTAACGAAGATCAATGTAGCTAGCGATCAGATTACATCCAAAAAACAAGGTCATACACTAGATAAAATTAATACTTAAAAATCTACAACTCGAGACGTAGTACGTCGAGCGAAATAATCCAAACAAGAAAACCCTCATGTATATACCATATGTCTCGAATTGTAAATAATTAAATATTAATTCCGATCTATGTATGAAAAGAACAACACTGGTCTACATCTCAACAAAACAAACAAGGTCCACCATAAAGCACGCAAGCATATTATTCTTGTTTTACATGTTATTTGAATTGGGGAAGAATATTTTGATGTATATAATCGGGTCCCCGTAAAGTCGTCCGGGGGCCGCCCTCAAGTCAAGTTTTGGCCCTCTGGCCCATGTACATAACACTCACGATATCACGATAACAAGAAAGCGCTGTGCCCGTTTATATACATGTTATATTCTCCGTCCAATTCCCCTTTATAACCCCATGTTATCAAATTAATTAAGCAACTGTACATGAAATATTGTGCACTAGCCACGGAGTTACCGTGGAACGACTTCTGTAAAACTATGAACATAACCGTGATCCATAACACGTCCGATCAAGAGTGCATCGTCTAGTCAATGCTATAATAATAATAATCAAGGAAACCTCATATCGGGATATCGATATCAAGGGTACAGCCATGCCTTGAAAGCACGCTTATAAATCATACTTTTAACAGGAGTCGTCTTCATGTACAGTCTCTCCTATTGGATAACAACTAAGTGATAAAACAACAAACTTCCACACAGCTATTCATGTCAAACAATCCCACACAGGTAATAATAAATCACAGACTAATCTAATTAATTAACTCATAACAGCTCTAAAAATTGAATGACGAGTCATAAATGTAATAACATATCACAGTTTAATCTAGGCATGAAATTCATAACAGATCTAAAATTCTAATAAATGACCAATAAAATGGAAATCCACACGTACGACAAATATAAGAATAGATAATTCATAAATTCATTTTCCAAAATAAACTCCTTTTAAATAATTATAAAAATATTTTTTAAATATTATTTTTCATATTTTATCTTTCAAAATAATTTCTTTTCTCATTATAATTAATCTAAAATAAATCCTTTTAATTTATTTCTCATAAATTATT